AACAATGAATAGTAGTACTGTTTCTAACTGCTGTAGATATTTCTCAAAGAACTGTTCTGTTAATTCAACGCGGAAGGCAAGTACTGATATTTGGACAGACTTAGTTAAAAAATATTTATTATACCAGATGTCCTTGAAAATTACTCATCAGAAAATTTTCTTGTTCTATCCCTTATCAGTGTCATCATTTTAGTACATATGGTTATAAAAACCTATTTACGGCGGTTAAGCTATCAATGCCATACAAAATAAGTAAGCAAACCTACTAGCTGAACCATGTGCGAAGCTGAACCCTGCGTTAGGCTCGTAAATACGTGTGACGTTGTTGGGCGCGCGGGGGACAGGTGTCAATTTTAAGTGCCGAATTTTTGCAAAAAAAATTCAAAAATTCAATAGACAACAATGAAAAAGAAATACATACAGATCATATTCACTAATTTTTATTGATTAAATGGGCGATGGCGCCACAGTACCACGCCAATCAAATCCAATCAGCGCAGATCTAGGCGTGGTTGAATCCTGTCACCCACGCGACTAACGCAGGGTGAAGAAGCTCCATAGGAAAGTTGCTCACTGGGCAAAAATATTTCAAACGCAGCTGCTCTTGCATACGTTAATTAATTAATAAAGGACCATTACTTTTATCCATTTTATCAAAATATTTAAATAAGAGTAATTTTGGCAAAAATTATCGATTTGTTCGTAAATAGACAGATACTGCTATGTTTTATCTTACGAAGATCAAAATGGTACGGCCATGTTATTTGGGCTGTCACACTGATAGTGACAAACATATATTAGGAATATTCAAACTATGTCAAGAAAATTTTCCAGGTGGCGAGACGAAGCTAAAGAGCGTATGTCTGAGCGTGCATACACAAACGTATGTGTTATTTTTGAATATACTTTCTGCTTCAGAAACGTAGCCACTGTTTTTAACACACTGTATTTCTCTTAATCACATTACTTCTAAATATACTTCGCTCATGAGAAGTACAGACGAAACGATTATCTGGGCATATTTTAAGCTGAGCTACTTTATCGCTAGGACTCTATAAATCTGGCTTTTTAGTATTTGTCAATTAAAATCTTAGTTTGTAGCCAAATATAGCATGGATTTTCTTATAAACTTGCATTATTCTTCTTGGAGGTAATTTGATTTTTTAAGCCAGGATGTTGGACCACCTGTAGGATTCAAAATCTCAGATCCAAGCCGTCCTTCAAGATCTCCACACGGGACTAAACCGTAGCACGTTGTTTAGACCAATGGTTTATAACAATGAAATCTAGTGGTAATGGAATATAACTTGAAAGAAATGGTATTCGTTATTTATGTTTTCAACTTCCTGGTAGTTCTAGGGTCTAGGACGTAATTGAAGAAGTCTTAGAGGTAAACTTTTGGTAAGTATCCAAAATTTAGAAGTTTTTCAAGCACAAGATCACCTTGGAATGCAGTAAGAAAATATTTAAGAGCAAAAATTTGTAAATTCACAAAACTCATTATTTGGATTTCGTTGATGATGCTTAAATAGAATTATGTATCAAGGGTTATCAACGTTCAGCCTTCCCAGATCATTTCGTATGGAATATCATTTATATTCCTAATTGAAACAGCAAAAAACAAGTTGGTCTTATACATAAAAGATTTACTCTGACATATGCATCCCAGTTCATATGATAGGATTCAATATTTCAAAACTTCTTTACTTTAGAAGTGCGCTATCCCTAGAAGGCAGTGCCAGATGGCCTCCAATTTCTTTTGATTCTAGTGGTCTCCAAGACTCCATTTCTCTTGCGCAGTTTTCAATAACAGACATGTCGCCAAACTTTGCAATACTCGGCAGGATGATCTACTAGCACACTCCTGATGTCAATACAGCAATCGGCTAGCACATAAACGGAGTAAGCCATCGAAATTCTCATTTTCAATGTTTCACGGGATCACTATAGTCATGATTGTGATATAGTTTTTATGTAGGATTCCTGAATATTTTCTTCGTGTCTGTGCCGATTAGAATTAGAAAATAAATTTATGTAAATAAAACCTAGCTACATTGGAATATAACTTGGTCAGTAGGTGGAAATCTCGATAGAGAAATGACATAAAGTCTTCGACTAACCAACAAACCAAAACTATTCAATTACGGCAACGAATCGCCACAACTGGAAAGAAACCGGAGCAAATGCGAAAGAAGAAAAAAGCGGCCACTGTCCACCAGCAGTCAGTTTTCCATTTTCAAACGACACCATCAGAACGGCATGGCATCCGTAGGAGGTCAATGACCTTAGTGTGTGCGCGCTCACCTGAATTCGGCGTCAGCTTGCCGTTGGTTGAGTGGTATCCGTGGTACCAGCCAACGCTAGTACCACGGTCCAGTAGCAAAGACTGAAGGTCAACAGGATGTTCTTTCAAGCCTGGCCACTTTTTGGGCTTAGTGTTCCATAGGGAATGATCTTAGACGGAATATTAGTTTTCCTTCAGATCAAAGACATCTTCTGTAGCACAACGGATTTAGAGTAGAAGAACAAAGTTGTCAGTATTTTAAAAGTTTTTAAAGATACTGTTCAAAAATACTTTGTTTCCACCATCATTTTTTATAGAGACATTTTTGAATTCGCTAAAGATGTCGTATTCTTGTTTAGAGCCTGGCCTATTTCTAGCGGACTTGGCTCCATTATTTCTATTTTAGATGTATGAAGTATTTCTTCTCTAGCACAACAGTGAGATATTGACATTTTAGGATGTCAATGTTCAAAAAGACTTAGCTTTGAGCTTTTGCGTATGTAATTTATTTTCGATAAGAACCGGAATGGTTTGATACCATCAAGGAATGTGTAAGATATGTGTCTGAAAACTGGCAGACATTCAGTAGATAGGTCAAATCGTTATAATAAAAGCTACCAAGTTTCTAATCAATGGCCAAAGAAATTATAAAATCTTGTCGGTGTCTGTCATAAGCCCATATTTTTGTTGAATTTATTAAACTTGAACACCGTCTAACTGGAAAACCGTTGATATTAGAACTATAGTACACGGCAGACTTTTGATCAGATTAGTATGGAGAACAACGTACGGCTTCAGATTTAAAGTCCATAAAACGATAAAACAGGTATAGCGGTGCTGGAAAAACAAATACAACCTCGCGTTTCAGAGAAATTATGAAAACTTTACTCTTTCCACATACGACTATATGTTTTCATTTGAAAAGATTACTGAGCAAAACAACTTCTATACAGCATTGGTTTTTAGCTGGAAATAAATCACTTGAAAAGTATTTAACTTTCGAGGTAGTTGACTACAAACTTTCTAGGCGTTGGTTAATAAAAGCAGAAGATATGTGCACGGCTTTTGGTGATGATTGCGCTATAAAACGTGTCCCGAATGCAAAATTTCCCTCAATTCATATATTTGCTGAGATTGAAAGTAACATAAAACGACATAGTTTATAAGACACTCACTCCTCATCTCCTAAGTTTTTGTGGTATTGGATGCTGATATTTAGCATGGTCTTAAAGCATGTTACTATTATATGCGTTGGCCATATAATCTATAGTTGCTTCCAAAATATAATCCAAGAATCGAAAGGGTGATTCCTTAGATCATCTTCAGCTTAGTTTGTCTATTTCAAAATCCGTTCAAAAGGATTACCTATCGTCACGTTGCATGTCAGGCTTCCGCTCATAGAACGACAAAGTCTTTCCAGTATACCAAGGTCATATTTCCTTGGGATTATTAGTATACGAGCCCCTTCCCACTTCAGTTGCCCCAACTATTGAAATCTTAGTTTTTTTCTTATCAAACACAAATAATAAAAATGTAGCAGGGTGTTATAGGTTCAAAATATTATCAATGAATATTTTGATAATATATAGTAGAAAACACCAACTTTATCACTCCCTAATCAAATTTGCCGCATAAAAATAACACATGTTGCAATTACAGCATATCAACCTATTTTCGTTTCAATGCAAAATAAGTCTATAACGCATAGGTGGCTGTGAAAAATAAAAGCCATGACAATTGTTTTTATTAATCACAGCTGTCAGAATACGTTTAAAATAGTTTTGGGTAGTTAAGGTTTTCAAAATGGGTAGAGGAAAGGTTATTAGTAAGAAAATTCGGTTACTGATAATTAATTTTTTTAATTCTGGGAAATCAAACTGACAAATTGCAACTTTGTTAGACTTATCGCAGTACAGTGTGAGAAATATTGTTAGAAGATATAACGTAACTGGTTCAGTTAATATTAAGCCACGATATGTGAAAAAAAGTAATATCACAAATGCCGACCGAAGAGCATTAAGAAGAATAATCGTGAAAAACAGGAGTGCCAATTATTTACAATTAAGTGCTCTGTGAGGTGACGCTGTTGGAAGGAGAATTTCGAGGTCCACAACTCATAGAGAGGCCCACAAACTGGGATTTAGCACTTGCAAGGTAAGTTATCTTATAAAAAAAAGTGAAGTAAAAACCCTAAAGTTGCACAACTTGTTTATAGGCCAAAGAAAAGCCACTATTAACTCCACTGCAAAAGAAAAATCGGCTTAGATGGGTTAAAGAACATAGACAATGGACACCTCAACAATGGTGTGCAATACAATGGAGTGATGAGGCCCGATTCGAAGTTTGTGTTGGTGACAGTCGCAGTAGAGTTCTTCGCAAAAAATGAAGCATTCCATGTTGACTGTCTGAAGAGAAAAGTGAAATTTCCAGCATCCATTATGGTCTGGGGCAGTATGTCATTAAAAGGAGTAGGAAAACTTCATTTTATTGATGGAAATGTGGATACAAACAAATATTTGGCAATTTTAGAAGAATCGCTTTTACCAGTGATGGAAGAAAGATTTTGTGTTTCAGCAAGATGGTGCAGCGTGCCATACCTCAAAAAAGGCTATAAAATGGATTGAAGAAAATAATGTTCCACTTTTGAAATGGGTTTCTAGCAGTCCAGATCTGTCACCTATTGAAACTTTGTGGCAGATGAAGAAGGTTCTAGGACATCCTGCTCGTACAATCACCGAACTGAGACAAAAGCTTCAAGAAATATGGGATTATTTTACACCAAATTTTTGCCAAAACTTGGTTAACACTATGCCCCAAAGAATTTCAGCCGTAATAAAAGATAAAGGTGATGTTACCCAATGGTAATCTTTCAATTGTTGCTTTGTTAACTTCGCACATTGTTTATTTATTCAGATGTTCTATTAGTTATAGGTCTAAGTGATTTCAAATATTTATTTTTTACGACTAGAGTGTATCTAAAGTGTTTTTGAGAAAATAAATTGTTTTAGAAGTAAATAGTTTCGTCATGTTTAGTTTATAAAGGCATATTTTGGTAAAAATCTTGAAGTGGGCCAACTGAAGTGGGAAGGGGCCCGTACTCATATATTCAGCAATTATTCAATTGCCCAGAGCTAGTCATTTTCAACATTTCTGTAATAAAAAAAACTTCTCGTGACATCTTTGCTAATGAAAGATGATATCCTGGAATATTTTGTTCGCTCTATATCTACGAAACGAAGCGAAATTCCGAAAAAAAGTAATATTATTGGAATAGTCCAAAGAATCGCCCCTTGAGATTTTGTCCCATGTTTTGAAAACAAGGAATGGACAAAGCAGGGATTATTTTACTTTTTATTATAGAACTAAGTTGGTAATTAATCATCCAGTTAAGAATATAACTAACTTTTTCTGGAACCATAAAAAGAACATCTGACTTCGCGCAACAGTAATCTGAAATACATCAAATTTTCTCATATTGATCGCCGTGTCAGCCACTGATGACTGACATTGGACTATTTCAGGTGCCGTGACAGTCATCAGGACTGACACTTCATACCTACTTCTAACTTCCATTTAACGTGTCAATCATGAGCTCTGTGTTAAATTATTTTAGATTTCCCTGACGCCGAATGCATCGAAATAAATACAATGTTTATATTCTAGAGTTTCTTAGGCCATCATTCAATGTGTACCAACTTGGTCATAATTCTGAGTTTCAAATACAAGAAAAATATTTAAATCAAATGGATTGGATCACTAGAAAGTGTGACAAATAATGTTTCGCAAACTCCTATATAATTCTATTTGAAAAGTTAGGAGCTGCAAGCCTCACTAGAAGGGTAAAACGTATCTATAAGGATGAAAGGTTATGGAATGATATAGTAAAGATGCATAACTATATCGATATAGGGAATTCATTTTGTTTCATGCCCTTGAAAGACGATCAAAAAAAATTAATAAGAAAAGTGAAAATCTATATCGGCTCAACATCAACAACATTCCTTTATCAGTTGTAACTGTAAGCAAAAATCTGGGTTTATGGTTGGATAATGAACTAAAATTTGACTCTCATATAAAGAAGTTATGTTCAAAATCTTATGGCACCCTCAAACAATTATATCCTCAAAGGCATTTACTAAATAGTAAATTAAAATTACAGCTGTGTGATTCACTAATCATTTCAAGGATATCTTATTGTGACGCAGTATATGGACCCGCTTTATTGCAAAGTGATAAGATCAAGCTGCAGCAACTCCAAAATTCTTGTTTCCGTTATTGTCTTAGCATTAGGAAATACGACCATCAGTCATGTTTACAAGGAAAACGAAAATTGAATTCAGAAAGTCTTAGAATCTATCATCCACTATCTTTAGTCCATATGACGTTAATGAATAAGAAACCAGAGTAAAGCTACAAAAATTTTAAGATGTTAACAACTTAGCAACAAGAAATAGTCAATCCCTGGTTACACCCCACCACTCTACATAGTTATGCAAGAAAAGTTTTTCATACATTGCGGCCAAATACTACAACAATCTACCAACTGAGTACCGCAATTACAGTCTAATACATTTCAAGAAAAAAATTAAAAGCAATGCTTTTATCCACCTCCTCTACCTGATGATATTGAGACCAATTTTCAAAAATTAACCAAGGATAAAACTAACTGTATGATTTTTCGAGTCATATCATATTAAATGACTTAAAATTTAAACATATATAGTTGTATAGATTTAATCTTTATTAGGCAATTATCACAAATCACGTGTATTCATTATTTTACGACACTATTCTTATTCATGTTTGTAATTTTAGTTTATGGCTACCTTAAGGTAACACTCCGCCGTTTCGATTCTTTGATTTCAAATTTTTAATACCTCACCTTTACAAAAATATGTATTTGTAAAAGAATCGAATAAAGGCATGTTATTATTATTATTATTAAATGACTTAGCATCAACAAAATATTGCTCATATCAGGCTCACACTATTTTATACCAAAACCAAAATACAACTCTATCACTACGATGACGTTAAATTCATCAAAGTATAACCAAACAGGCTTTATTTTATTTTAGTTATTATTTTGTGTTTATTGAGAAAATTGTTTTGTTGCTTTTTCGGCTTCCTGCAACCGCCTAATCAACGTCATCGCTATAATACATCAAGGCAGGCGCATTTGATGCAAATGCATTCAGGTTTTCAGATTTAGCAAGTCCAAAGTACATTGTCCGCAGTGAAATACGTTCATTAACGTAGGGTGTGAACAATACTGATAACAACCGTCCCAACCAAAAGGTTGTACTGAAATTAATCAAGTGAATGAACAATGTTATTAGTTTCAATAAATTGAGTTAATTGATGTGCTTGATATTACCTTTCGCTAACCTACAAATATGTTCATTGGACTGCGAATATCGGTTAATCGAAGAATGCATCAGTGCAGTTGTTCGGACGCATTTTGAAGCAATATTCTCAATGAAATCTTCCAGTGTACGCTCGCCACAGTTTTCTGTGTTAGCAAATAACGAAAAATGATACATTCATATATAAAAAAAATTCGAATTTATACATAGTGCTCCTTACTAGCGTTATAATGTTCCAAGATATGGCTTATCGAATGATTTTATGAGGAAATTTTTTTATAAATATTTATCCAAAATCGTTTGAATTTTTAGCTACACGATATTTGGTGGTTTTTAGGGTAAAAAATAATTTATGTATCTTCGAAGCTGCTTTAAATATTATTATTAGCCACGGCGAATTATGGAAGTACATAAATTTATATATTTCAGCATATAAATACAAAAAATACAAAAATCTATCCTGCCACCAGTGGCGTCTTTACAAACATGTCTTGCGATATGTTTGACAAAAAATTGGTACTCCACTGACATGTTTTAATATAGATACATATTTTTCTCCTTAGCTTGATCAATTCCACTTAAAACCCTCACTTGATTTTTTATTAAAATGGCAACTATTAATATCCGTGTATTTCTCCTGAATGGTGGCAAGTGCTCACCAGAAAAGGTAAGACAGAGTTATATATGAAACCTTTAAGCTCTAAAGCTACTGATCATTTCTTCAATGCAAAAGTAACTCATGTTCAAAAATACTATTTTAAGACCATCTGAAGCAAATTTGTTCGGTAAAATGTCCTACTGAATTTAGAACTCAATTTTTAAGAATTAGGATCCTGTCACAGAAATAAATGTAATAAATCTTATGAAATCATGCACATTGGGTTAAAAAAACATATTTCTGTCCACCTCGAACTAGAGTCTTTCACAGCCCCACTGTTCTTTGAGGTTTCGGCTAGATGTTTTCTCTTTTGTTTTGGCTTCGGCTGTCAGTGCGCTACTGTTGAGCAAGTTTTGTATTAGGTACGTAAAAACAAAAATATAAATGAGTCTGAGTGGACAAACCTGAATTCGGCGTCAATCTTCCATTAGTATCAGCAAGCACCAGCACCACGGTCCAGTAGCAAAGAACGAAGGTGAACAGGAGGTTCCTAAGGGCCCGGCCTCCGTCGCCAAGGCCCGCCTTGCACAAAACACCACTCATACCCCAACTGATAACAGCATCAACAAAACAACAGCTATCCTATCACTAGAACATAACACTACAGTGCATCGCGGACGGGACGGCGACGAGCGCGCGCTTTGCGTTTATTTCGCGTAGTTGCGGCTTTAGCGATCCGACTCGAAGGAGCAACACCTGAAACGATGGTCCGTCGCGAACTGCCGCCGGATAGCGCGGAGCGTTGCGTGCGGCGGTGAAAAGTGCGCCGCGCTTACAAGTGAGGCTAGGTTACCGGTGCGGCGCTCCAACGCCGTGTGCTTGATTCTTCGACTGTAGACGACAAGAAGTCGATGGATCGTACAGGTAGAAGTCGCGAAACAGCGAGAATGGGTGACGTGGCTCTGTTTACATATTTACATCACTTAGCCATTGAAACGTTAATAAAACGATGCGCTTTTGCGAACGTTGTACTGTTTTTGAAACATTTTGTAGGAAATAATTAAAAAGAAAAATTTCAATTACAATCTATTATTTAGCAGTTAACCAAAGTAACTAAAAATCAATTTCTTCCGGTTAGAAATATGCCGCCTTGTACTTCTTAAACGATGATAACTCACTCTCGTCTCAAGTTTTCAAATAAAAACATATTACAACCCTCTTCTTGACGTTAAGATATAAAACGCTTTTACGTATTTGGTAGACAACGGAATATTATAGTTTAAACGTGAAGAAGTATATAACGACATATCGGTAAAAATATTTTCGAATGTTGAGTTATTTTTGTAAAAGCTTCTAAAATTTTATTATTTACTTATTTTTTATTTTATTTAATCTTTATTATGTTAAATAGCTATTTTATTAATAGGACCAGAAAACTCCTCACTTGATTTTTAATGATTTATTTCTTGACTGGATTTTCAAGCTATTTTACTTGACTTAACTTGGAATCAAGTCAAGCTCAAGTCAAATATTAGATACGTACTAGCAATGTGAGTCAAGGCCAGCAGTTTTTACGTCAGGTACTTGAAAATTCAAGTAGCCTTGACATTATTTGATAACATTTACTTCCCTTTGCCTACTGGGGCGGAAGTATTGTAATCTCGAATATTTTCAAAAATGAGATGTGTTTTTTGGATGTTGTGACATGTACATCACGAAAACCCAGGTCACTTATTTGTCTGTCGGTCTGTCCGCCAATCTTATAACCGCCTATAACTTGATAAGTACTGCTCGGATTTCAAAGAAATTTTTACATAGATGTTACAACTATGCCAAGGACGTAAAAACTTTGTAGGTTTTGAAATTCGGTCCAGTGGCGGAAAAGGCCAAAAACTAAACAGAATAAAGTCACTTAAAATTCGTTTTTTATGTTTCAGAGGATCCTGATCATTATTGAAAATATATATACATATATACGAGAATATATATACAGGGTGACCCATCCATGTGTGTACGGAATATTACTCATAAACAAAAACAGTTTGGGAAAATCTATCTATGGAATGTTATACATGACATTTGAGGGCATATTTCTAAAATATTGGCCATTATACAGGGTGTCCCAAGTTCGACCTACATATCAAAGTTGTGATTTTTCAAATGAAATGCAATAAAATTTGAGGCATTCTATTTAAAAAATCACAACTTTGATATGTAGGTCAAAATTGGGATATATATATATATATATATATATAATTGGCAATATTTTAGAAATGTGCCCTCAAATGTTATGTATAACATGTCATAAATAGATTTTCCCAAAATGTATTTGTTTATGAGTAATATTCCGTCCACACATGGATGGGCCACCCTGTATATACACATATATATACTCGTATATAGTTAAAAAAATTTGGGGGCGGAGGTTGTAGGAGGCAAGGACGATTTATTTAAATTTTTTAATGTTAATACATTTATACCTCCCCACCGGTGGTAATTCTACGCATATACATATTTCATAGATTTCTCCGAATATTAGCCCTTATAAAAATGATCTCAGCAGACGGATTGCGTACCTGCAGGCCACGGATGTCCCTGGTGAATGTTCTGTGGTTCTAATATGGTATTACACGTATTTCTGCTAAGCTACAGCATAGTGTGTACTAGGTATACTTCGACCGCGCTGCCACGTCTGGCCGGGTTAAGCATCGGGAGAGGCGACGTTCCCAGATGCACTATATACCGGTAGGGCAGGGAAAGAATGTCTATGGAGTAATTATATGGACCTGCTTGAGTGACTTTTTTCTCAGAGGATCTAGTTTGTGCTGAACGTAATTCTTTATGAACTGATAGCGGCGTTGCGTGGGAAGTGCAGAGTCAACCTACTATGACGCCATTTTTCTAACTACAAGTAAATCATAAATATACAGCGGAAAGACGTTGTGGCAAGTTACAAAAAAAGTAATACATGCTGAACAAAATATTTTGTTCATCTGACAACAAATAAAGAAACGATAAGGCTGTAAACTCAAATAAACATTTCTTCAACAGCTGATACAAAAGAATGAAAAACTCTGGATTATCTTTTCATTCGCTTGTGACAAGTTACAGCGAAAACAATACATATTGAACAAAATAATGTGTTCATCGTATAACAAAAAGAATAACGAAAAAAGTGTAAACTCAGATAAAAAGAAGAAACAATTCTTCATCAGCAGATACAAAAAAATGAGAAATTAGAATGAGCTTTACATTCTCTAACCACGAGTTGAGACACATGAGGGTCCTAACGGATTTATCGCTTAATCTGTTGGGGGTTTCGTAATAGCCAGTGCAGTTCTAGAAAATTCCTTTTAATAGACGCTGATGTTGCAGGTGTCCACCACGCTTGATTATTTGCATTAAAACAGAAAGTATGTTGTGCAAATAAGTACCACAGAGAGCCTTCAGTAGAACGGAAATGTAATTTCCCATCAAGTATCAAGTAGTTTGAAAATTACCTCAAGCCAAGTAGAACAATGAAAAAAATCAAGTCATGACAAGCATTAACGTTTCAAGTAACTTTGTTTTAACAAGACAAGTAGCTTCTAAAAATATCAAGCTGCTTGACTTCCCTTTTTATTTTCATCATTAATATAGGTAACATACGGGAAACATGCTCATATCTACGTATATAAGTATGTTTGTTAAATAGATTGGGAAAAGAAAGCCTACCTATATTTTGGCGAACCATTTAGTGTTAGAAAGCTGAAAATTAGTACGGTTATGATACTGGAATGAATATTTATTTCATATTATAGTCGATTAACATAGTCATCAGACCCTAAGATTAGAACTTGTCAAGAATCATCAAACTCGATCTATTACGTCGTTTTATTATAGAGCTCCCACGACCACCTTCCGACTACATTTCAATTTTGTTGTGTCACCTTGGCAACTAAACTTTATATTTGGAAATATTTTAGAACTATTGAAAAATAAGCAATTTTAAATATAGCTCCTCACGTAGTTCTCCTCCTTGAATACCCCAGTTTTAAAGAACCTAATAAAACGTCGAAAAACCCGACGAAAGGTCATCTTGAAGAATAGGTAGTTTTTAGTCTGCAAATAGTTCATTCCACGTTTGCTCGCTATGATCGCGGTTCGCTCACGTTTAAGCAACACGTACAGCTTGTGCTAGGTAAACATCTTGTAGAAAAACCTACGTTGTGTCACAAAAAAAACCTACGAAATGTCAAAAAAATGACAAAATTGCATTCGATAATTTCAGTTTGTCAGTTTGACATCAGGTAACTAGTTAGTATTTGTAAAAAGAGTTTGAAACTTTATGACCGTGAAGTTACTATTGAATATTTCAACATGGCGGCTAGGCGTTATTTCGAAACATTATTTTAAGTAGAATGAGGGGTCGTGATATAGGTACATAATTTTCGAGCTGTTTATGAGTACTTTATAACCCCTGAATATAAAATCACACCCTTAACAATAGTCAGAGATGAGCGTGTTTGTACATTGAATACAATCTTCTTTTTTTGGAAAGGTCTATCCGTTCTATTCATGTAGGAAAACCATAATCATTGACAGCCTGCCAGTCCGTCATTATGTAAAATAGTGATTTTATATAACAGTCACTCATAAGGGAATGAGGTATCACGCGGCCTCTCATTTTATTAAAAAAATGTTCCATTATAGCGCCCAGACGACATCTTGAAGTTTTGAACAGTCTTTTTATGCCATGGATTCACCTAAGTATTGTGAACAACAAAAGTCTTTATTTAAGATTAACGTGCACCAGTGGCGGAGTTACAGGGGATTATTAGCATTCTTTTCCAAATAAAAATAGTACGCCACTGTGTTTTTTACCCTGACTTTGCTACAAATAGTAACTCTTATGTTTTTTCCTAGAGGGCACTAATTTTGTAAAAATAAAAATAAAACAAATTAGATCATTCATGAAGAGCCGAGATTATTTTCAAAATAAAATAGGAGGACTTGATATTAACTTGACGTGTCTCGGGAGATAATTATTCAAAGTTATGTTGTTATCGTTACTACTACCATTTTTTTTTCTGCAAAAGTCAATAATTTTTTTCCATTTTTGATTAATTTGAAATGGAATTTAGCAATGATGAGTACGCCGATATTATTTTTTGTGTACGGGTTCTGTAATGGAAATGCTTCTCAGGAGTATCAACGTAGATTTCCTCACAGACACCAACCTACCCCAAAGGTTTTCACGTTTTCATTTCTAAGACTTCGGCAATATGGAATTGCCAAACTTCTCGGAGTTAGAGGCCATAGTGGCGTTGGATGATCTTAGTACAAGTACTAGGCGGATTGCAGCCCAGTTACCATGTTCCCAAAGTCTTGCGTGGAGAATCTTAACTCAGGAAGTTTTACATCCTTACCACCGGCAAAATGTGCAATGTCTGCAAGCCGGCGACGAAGTGCAACGGCGAAATTTTTGCGAGTGGTTACTGCAAATGCATAATGAAAATGCAGATTTTATTGATATGGTTTTGTGATCAAAAGAATCGCTTTTTACGAGGTGTGGAACCTTTAATTCCCATAATGAACATATTTGATCGTTAGAAAATCCCCGTTCTGTAAGAATCCACTCGTTTCAACACATATTTTCTAGAAATGTCTGGTGCGCCATTTTCAATGGCCAACTGTTTATGCACGTAGTGCCACCACGTTTAAATGCAAACTCATACTTAGCTTTTCTAGAGAATTACATAGAAAATGTGTTAGATGAGGTTTCGTTAACAACGAGAGTACGAATGTGGTATCAGCACGACGGTGCCCCACCGCATGTTCGTCGTGACCGCATGGTTGAATAATCATTTTAAACAACGATGGATTGGCAACGGACCCGTA